GTGGCCCTCGGTGAAATTGAGTTTGACACCCCTGATCTAACAAGTGAAGATTTACTTACAGCTTTACTTTAAAGTTTGTCGTTCCTTCTGTAATTTATTATCTAAAAAAATTATTTGTACCCTTATGCAATAAGTGTATCAAAACCAACTCTATCAATTTTTAAGCAATATTTAAAAGTAGTTCTAATTTGCTTCTTTTCTGCAGTAGCTATTCTGCAGTGTTATTAGCCTGTAAAAAATATACACATTTAGTTATTCCTGCATTTTCATTTGTCTTGTCTTTTTTCCCTGAAGCAATAAAAAGATTGGAAACAATCATTAACCCTTTAAAGAAATGCTTCATGGAGTGCAAACTGAAACTGAGGCAAAAAATAATAATTAAGCAAACAAAAATTAGCTGAAATAAAAACAGTAGTTTCTACTGTAAGTTTCCTGAGCAGAACAATTCGCTAAAGAAGAAACTGAACCACACAAATAGCTGATGATTCAGTCTAGCAAGCAATGAAATGAACATTTTTAAAAACCTGCTACTAGGAACAAAAATAGTGCTACATGTTTATTTGCAGATTACTTATGCAACATATTCACAAGTAATATTTATTAGAGACACTTTGACCAAAGATTTTTATTTATTTTTTTGCTATAAAGAATCCAAACAGTATAGAAAAAACATAAAGAGTTTAAATAATTTGAGCAAACTGGACTTTTGTCTGTTATGTCCCTGCAGGCCAAATGAAGTGTGATTAAATCCTCTCCTGGACTTTCTGCCACCAGGGAGAGAAGGCTTCCTCTAGGCGTCTAGACCAAGTGCGCCCCCTGCAGGGAGGTCAGAGCAGTGTATCTGGCTGCGGAGGAGGCCGGCGGAGAGGAGGCGGCGTGGGATGCTGCTCTTCGTTTCAGCTCCCTGGAGATCTGAAGCCAAGATAGCGTGTAGCAGCAGCATCCGTACAGGCAGTCGCTCCACACGCTTCCCTGCTCAGAGAGAGAGAGAGGCAGAGAGAGAGAGAGAGAGAGAGAGAGAGAGAGAGAGAGAGAGAGAGAGAGAGAGAGATCTGAACATCAGTGGGAGGCCCAGGCAGAAAGGTGAACATTTACATTCAGGTGCAGAAGACACATTTTTATTGTTTTATAAAGCAGCAGAACCACCGTTCACTTCTGCTGGTTACTGGAAAACGAGCTTTTGTTGCCCCTCAACAACAATATTTTATTTTTAAAGGGGATCTATTATGCAAAATTCACTTTTTGCCCGTTTTTATACTTCAGTTTGAGTCTCAACTGCTTGCAAAAAACATCCAGCTGTTTTAATGGTAATAATTGATCACTTTTTCTTTGAGCCATTTCAAAAACCTCCTGATTGTTGAGTCACATTCCGTTACCTAGCAACCCCAGCCCAGCCTAGCCCGTTACCTAGCAACCCAAGCAGAGTTCCAGAACGTTTGGTCAGCTAGTTTAACAATGGCAGTACAATGGCCGCTGGAAGGCCAAGTGTTTTATTATTTACTTTACCATCCAGAAACCACTTGCTGAATTCTTCTTGGTTGTTCAGGAGGCTCTACTGATGCTTTTCAAACATGTGTGGTAGTTGCCCATCTGTTTGCTGCCATTTTAATGTGCGAATGTAAACATTGGTTTGGGGGCGTGGCCAGCAGCAGTTTATTTGAATTCAAAGTGACGGAGGCCCTAAAATCTCATTATCTAAGAATA